TTGATTTTTTTACTTTTATATATTAGTGCAGGGGGACAGTATTGGCCTGGCAAAGACTCCAATCCGGCCTGCAGGACAGCTTTGGAAAATATGTAGGAGAGTGTACATTTTTGGACCTTTTTTAACTGTAATTTTTATACATTTTACATCTTTTTCTACTGATAGACCTCCCCCACAGCCATTTAAACTACAACTAAGTAATAGATTAACAATTAAATAAGAGAAAGTTCCGGTTGTTTAAGATATCACAGAGTTGTGTAGTTAAGTATCTTTACACAGACAAAGTGGAGTTTCAGTCGTCACTTGGTTGTATATGGCCTTTGTCGTAAAATGTTTGACATTTATTGAAGGCTGAAAGCTTCAGATATGTTTCCTCGGTTGCTGTTTTCTTCGGTCAAGAACAAACTTTAAATGTCAGTTTTTCCAGACACTTCGGTCCTCAGCAAGCCCAGAAAAATAGAAAAATGTAAAAATGAACATCCCCTTTCATGTTCAGCAGTAATTAAAAATGTAAATAACATATGAAGACAGAGAGGTTAGAAAATAAAATTTTTATTAGAACAAAACAGCGTAAAAATGAGTTTGTCTTGATTTAAGACTCCGAGGCAAAAATGGAGGCTGTCTACAAGACTTTTAAAGTGCCACACGTCCGATTTATAAACGGTCAGTCACGGGATCACTGAAGTCTTAATATAAGTTAAATGTTAATATTTAGCCTTGCTGATATCCCTCCTTTGTCATTTTAACTGCTGTTACATATTATTGGAGAATTACTAAAGGAATTAGTTTTATTTAAACGTGTCCTCACTGTTTAAAAAAATAAAAGAAATAAAGAAGGCAGCAGTTCTGTTGGACACAAATGTCCAGCGTTTATCAAAATAAAGATTTGGGATTTTGGTTTTTGTGTAACGAACTCACTAAAATGCAAATCAAAACTTGCTTTCAGGACACTTTTGCAAACCGCTGCTGTCGACATCTCTCTGTTTTTGGCTCTCTGCAGACTCCGGGTCAGAATTCACACGTCACTTCCTGCCAAACAGGCTTCACTCACAGACAGCGATGATCACAAACACTCACTGCACTGCTCATCACGTGCCCCCTGTACCCCGTTTCTCAGGGGTCTTCACCTCCTTTCACAGCTATAGAGAATCCACATCAAGTCTGTGTCTTCAGCAGCCACTGTTGCGCCGCATGAAGGCGTGGCCCCTCACGGGGTAGAACATTTCTGTGAAGTTAAGGGGCCCCACCGTGATGTTGCTGGGGCCTAGCATTTTAAAGCCTGACTTCTGGTAGAAGGGGACCAAGAAGTCCTCACACATGAGCACGGCACGGCGGACGTAGGGCAGGCAGCGGAGGTACTGCAGGTAACGCCACATCAGGATGGAGCCTTTTCCCTGCTGGCGGAAGGTCCGGTGGACGGCCAAAACGTGGATGTGAACGGTGGTCCCGTGAGGCTTGTGTAGCGTAAGGGCGTCCTGGAGAGGAAGAGGAGAGCTGTCAGTAGAAGTAAAACATCCTGCTGGGTACCCACAGAAATATTTAAAGCTTAAAAGACCCCCAAAAACCATCTTTAATAATTAAAGCTAAATGAAGGGCTCAAGTTTAAATGACTCTGGTTTCATTAAAAATAATTTCATATTGGAGTTAAAATGACGTCAGCAGGATTCATCATCATAACTTTTAGTTGAAAGAATGTAAAGTATGAGAATTAAAAGATGGTGAATAAACTCTTGAATGATAATGATGATTGTATTTGGGATTAAAAGCTGCAGTTTGTTATTTCAAAAACTAAAATATTTTGAAAATATATCAGCTACATGTTGACTCGCAGTCCTCTAATATTAAATGTTTATAGCAAACAGTCTTTCATTCTTGGTTGGATTCGCATAACTGCGACATCATGAAGAAATTTAAGATCTGATTTTATTTTTTTTTTTTATTGTTTCTGCTAGGTGGAAACTTAAACCTCGTACAGCTGCAGGCTTAAAAGAAATTGTCAGGCAGCTTCCATGATTATTGTTGTTCTCTCTTCGGTTGGCACTAAACTCGTATGTCGGCAAGATTTATCACCATCCACTGAATTTTATGCACTTGAAGCGCCTCTCTTAATCTGTGTTGAATCTTTGCTCGACTCTCAACCGGAGATAAATCACTGTCCAGGTGTCTTCCGCTCCGTCTTACCGTGGTAAGCCTCTCCTGGTCCCACAGTGAGCCGATGATAAAAGCCACCAGCCGTCCCTCCTCGAACCAGCCAAGAGACAGCTCAGGACACAGAGTAAGGAAGTGACGCACCTCGTCCAGGTGGAGAGGACACTCACCGGAGACAGAGATGAAAGCTGCGTGAGGAGGAGGAGGAGGAAGAAGATAAGGGTCACGGTTGCCACAATCAGACAGTTTTATTAGTTGTGCAGGATGTTAAAGAAGCTGAGCGTGATGTTCCCAAATGTACTGACTGCTAAGCACAAGGAAAGTGTACAGGACAGTTAACTGAAGAGAATCTGCCCGTGAATAAAATCAGTGATGGCTCAGGTTTGTAGAGAGCTTTCTATTCAGTCGGAGAACATAAATAAAATCTGTGTTTTTAGCTGAGAATCTCTCCCCGCAGTTTTCTTAAAAGACGCTTGGCGTGCGTAAATCTGCATAAATACGCGCGTCCTCTGAAGAAATTCAGGCAGGTATTTAAAAGCACCGTTGCTCTGTAACGTAAGTTCAAAGAGTCTGCTTACCTTCTCTTTCAATCTCGAACACACTGATGGCATCTTCCGGGCTGAGGGAGCGGAACTCGCTGGCCGGCAGCGTGTGGCGGCGGCCCTGAGGCACCGGAGAGCGCATGGGGAGAGGCTTCAGGAAAGGCACTGCGCTCACCACAGACATAGTCCTGATTATTCCCAGAAAGTTTCGCAGGAAAGCTAAGAGTGCTGCGCTGACAATTTCCTGTCTGATTTCGTGTCAGTCTCTTTTTAAACAACGAGATGAAACTTGTCTGGGTGTCCGTGATCCGCGCGTAACTGTACAGCGAGAACTGGCGCAGACTGAACAGAGTGGAGCGCTTCCAGTATTTATACCGTTTGTAATCCTGAAGTGAGCTGTATGGATAATCCCTTTACTCCCCGTGAGTAAACTGAACCATAAACATATTTACAAGAGGGATAATCGTCTTGCCTCCATCAGACCAACCGATTTGGATTTGCTGAGTTCCCACACCAAACTCGTGTTCGCCTGCTGTAAAGTCAGGTTTAAGTTTCATAAAGTGACGCGACTGGGTTGGAATAAACACAATAACATAGGTATAGATATTTGGAAAATTATTTTCTGGCTGGTTAATCATCAGTGATGATTAATTGTCACACTGAGGAGATTGCGTGTTTCTTAACTGGGCCAACTTAAGGGCTCGACTTACCTCTCTTCATGTGATTTCTCTGAAGGAGACTTTTGTCTATCCATAGCCGCTTTAAGCAGAGTTCACGATTTTTCCATGGGTTATTTTTCCAGTTCTGTAAGAGGATTAGGCTACAGGATGTGTAGGAGCTTGTTTGTCACCTGGTGGGGTTTTAAGCTCCCTGAAGAATTTATCCTCTCCAAACAAACTTTTACCCTCATGAGATGAAATCATAAAATAATTTACTGCATTTTATCGCTTTTAGAGGGCATTTCCCAACAAATTAATGCAAACTGACACCGAGAGCAGGATATACAATGCTTAACAAATTTATTAAAACACCACCTAAATGTGAGGTTTATGCCACAGTTACACTAAATTAACAATACTGATGATTAGCAAAATGACTTTTATGTTTGTCTAATAGTAAATTCACCAGTGTGCTTATTTAATGCGAAAATATAATTATTGTTGTCATCCTTGAATTTACAAAAAAAGCTTTTTATTAAGATAACAAATGAAAGCTATTTATTTGCAGTGCTGAACAGAAAAATTAGTTTCAGTGGTTGACTTTTGTGCTCATGTTTATAGGTCAGGTGATGTAATAAATATAATGGGGACACCTCCTTTTCTGACACTAAACACTTCTATCCCCACGTTCTTCCTAAAAGACTAATTTTACATGTTCTTGTTTGCAAAACTGCAACTGTGCTGAAGATGTTGAGACAGTTGCAACAGTGCTGTTCAGCAAAGGAAATATAAATAATCTGTTATCTGTGTTTTCTCCTGTGTCTTTAGGTATGAGACAGTTTTAAATATTGTTAATGCCGTGTTTTTCCCCCCCTGTGTTTTTGTAGCTTGTTTTTGGATACAATGTCTTCGTCACAAAGACATGCCTGGGTTGGGTTATTTGGTTGTCTTTCTCTACGTGTGAATCTTGTGATAATCTAGTAACCTGTTCAAAGTATTCCCTGCCTCTCAATCTGTCTGAGATAGGTAACCCTGAATCAGATAAGTAGAAGAGGATGGAATATTCAATTCACATCAAGAATATTTCCTGGTTTTCAGTCTTCACAAATTTATAGACCTGTTCCTTTAAAAACAGATTAAACTGTCACATATTTTGTCTCCTGTACACTAATGTGGTTTACTTTGTAAATGTCTTTGAGAACTTGGAAACTGAGAAGATTATCATAAAAATCCCCACAAAAACCAAATCTAAAACAAAACAGATATATCCTTAAAGCAAACAACTGATGTTTAATTATGGGGCACTGAAAATTAATAAACTCAGGCTACTTCAGATGTATATTTGTGGAAAGATGTTAAATAATAAATAAAGGAAAACTTTTTTTTATTGTTAACTGAGCTGCATGTTTATTTGTATAGCGTTCACTGTGCAACAATATTAAATCATTTAGGTAAGATCCACATAGGATCATAGATCTCATTCTCACACTCACACACACACACACACACAGAGAGATGTCTTTTTTAACTATCGTTACTTAGGAAAATATAATTTAAAAGGAAACATAACTAAATATGATGAAATTTATAATAATAAATATTAGTAATTTACAGCAGAAAACGAAATGTAACCATTAAAATATTGGCGTAAAATAAAAATGTACACAATTAGAGTAAGTTAGAGAGTCTCCCATCAGCAGATTACGAATCATACTTTACGTACAGCCTGCGGTCTTTCTCGGTGGCTCCTGTTTCTGGCTCTCGGCGCCCCTCAGTGGTGACAGCGGGTACTGCGTGATGACGCTGCCACACTGCGCTTCTTACGTAGCCCGCGTAGCTACGTAAACACGTGCGCTTCGCTGCTTCCAGGTTACAGTTTTTTTTTATTCCACCGTCATCCTCGCGCTCCAGCATCGCTCCCTGACAACAGCGGCGATGGCGGAGCCCGTAGCATCGGATGCAGCGGCCAAGACAGACGCAGCAGCAGCGGCATCATCACCCACACCGGGCCCCTCTCCCGTAGCCAGCCCGGGCTCCGAGCCTCCTTCCATGGCTCTCTCCCCCACCGCGGACGGCTCACAGCGGCTGCTCTTCTCCCACGACCTGGTCTCCGGACGATATCGCGGCTCAGTCCGGTTTGGCCTCGTACGGATGATCCACGGCGAGGAGGATTTTAACTCAGATTCGGACCTCGACGATGGCGGAGGGAGAGGCGGAGACGGCGGCGGCGGTGGAGGAGGCGGACGAGTACCGTGCGGTTCGGACACTGAGAGCGCCGTGGACACCCCAAGTCGGCCTCTCGGGAGGGGATTTGTCCGCGTCCAGTGGTACCCCGAAGGTGCGAAGCAGGACATCAGGGAGACAAAGGTACCACACAGCTGCTAACGTGCTTACTGTTTACCCCGGCAGTCGGTGGTTATCTCAGCCTGACGTCAGGACTGCTTTGTTTCACCTGCCTGTTGTGGGTTTTTGGAGAGGGGGGTGATCGGCGGACTTGTTACCCAAGCAGTCATCAGCTTCACCTGATCCATCAGACTAAAACCTGCAGCCTAGCTCGCTAATTGGCTAGCATTCAAGCACACAAGCTAGCTAGCAGTTTAGCTCGTAGCCTCATGTATTTCAGCTGGTCCCGGCAGGTTGAGCAGGGTTGATCCACCTGACTGCAGCCAGCTCGCTGCTAGTACACCAAACACACACACACCACTGACCGGACAGGTAGGGGCTTGCACAGGTCCTGTCAGGTGCACCTCCCTGCTTAGACACCTTACACCTATTGATTAGCTCATCCTTGACTCAGTGTAGATCCTCAGCTGGGTGTGACCTGGCCTGAGACCAAGCTTTGTGTGTGATAGAAGATCTCTTATTATTATATAAACAT